TGACAGTCGTAGTTAGGATCTAAGGACCATGCAAGTGTATAAACCTGCAAATGATAATAACGGTTTGTCGGAGTCCCTATCGAGATTCCAGAACCCGCTCGAGCGCTTAGAAGCCAATGCGCTTGTCGGGACACATTCAGGGGCAACTAGGCCATTGACTACGTTTAAGTGTGATACGCGTCCCGCACGTCTTTAGGATCCGCAATGTTCAGAGCGTACTGTGTAGAGATGAATATTCTAAAACAATAAAATTTACCTGATCATCCAAATGACACAGTGCTTTCTTCATCAGTTCCACAGGCACCACTCCACACCACATACACACATTTTCTCCAGGGCTAAGAGTGTTCTTATTCAAGCTCATTAATCCTGCGGAACGAGCTGTCTTCAAACATGTAATTAATGTTCCAAGGTCTCTTGAATTTGGTACTGTAACACCATCAATGCAAACCAAAAAAAAACAATTAAAACTTGCCAGGAAGGAAAATAGAACATTCCTACTCTTTTCCTTATCTACACAGGGCGGAGGTCACAAGGCTGTTTGGAGGGCGCTATCCCCTTTCTTCCACTTAAACAATTATGTTCAGATAAACACTGTTGACTATCTTGAGTTACAATCCAAGTAATCTACAGGCCCAAACAAGTTTCTATTTAGTCTGCTAACGGTCCCCTGGGTTCTGAAAGAGAAACACCTTAATAAACACATTATGATTAATGTCATCTCACATCCTATATCCCCCCGCACCTCTAGAATGATACTGTAACAGTACGGAGGGGATTTTCTCAGACAAAAATTCTGCTATGTCTAATTGATGTGAATGGTTCAATGAGGCAAACACAAAACTAGCAAAAACAACGCTCACCATTGCTGCCTTGAAGATTCTTTATAAGATACTGAAGGCTTTTGGGACAACATTTAAGAAGCTTTGGAAGGCAATACTGTAAAAACAACAAGGATAAAAGGTTTGCATTAAATGGGAATTGGCATGGGATTTTTTGCAATAAGTTTTTTATGGCTACAAACACGTTAAGAAGCACATTTTAGGTTTATAATTGGAATGGAGGCAAACAAGTGTTGTTTTAGCGAGTTTCAGGGCGCTGCTTGCCCTCTCAGTCATTGATATGATCGCTATTTGCACATTAAAAATCAGTAATTCGGAAACAGAACAATTATTTATCTGCAAAGGACAATGAAAGCAGAAAGAAACAAAACAGGCGACGTTACATTAAACCATGTCAAACCGTTAACACCAGGCACAACCTAAACCTATCATAAGATACCTCTTTATGACGTTAACTTTTTCCCCCAAAAAATTTTTGAGATTTCCCCGCCACAACGGTTAATGCTGTCCCTATTATACTACTAGTGTAGTCAGCTGGAAATTCTTTGTTCATATTGTTACAATAACAGCTTGAGTTTTGTAAACTTAGGTTACAATAACCCTTCAAATGAAACTTTGGTCAATTATTCTTTACGAAGGATGAGCTAATTGCAAAAATGGACAGAAGCAGTTTATGATATTATAATTAGTACAAACAAACAACACAATGCATAATGTCAGAAATAATTCAATCTCATTGCCTAACGTTCTCAGTATGCATTGGGCGATAGAAAGTGAAGAAAGTGTGTAGCAAGCCGGTGTTCGGAGAAATAACATTTAAGACAATTCCAGCTTCTTCAACAAATCCTTTTTGCAGTACTTCTGGGGAAGAATTATATAACCCAGTTAATGATGCTATCCCAGAGAAAAACTAAGACTGTCATAAACATGGTATTAAAGAGGTAAAAATTTAGTTGTTTGTTTGCGACAAACAACATTCTCGTGAATTCGAGTTGTGCAAACAAGATCTAAAACGTGCTAGAAATAAATCATCACTGCCTGGAAACAATAACAAGATCATATTCATTTAGTCGATTTATCAGTAAGGTATGTCTCATGTACTATCGTAAGTTAGTGTCCAATTTGGATGAAATGAATAATAATTACGATATTACTGCTAAAAACAAACGACGTTTTGGAGTCGTCAGTAGTATATTGATCGTCTATCCAGCACTCAAAGGATGCCGCCGCCTGTGAATCAAAGAATCCAAGATGGCGGCCGGAGGCCGCCAGTCCTCAAAGGAAGTCGCTTGTCAATCATGTTACGTCACCATCCAAGATGGCGACCATCCAAGACTCAAAGGAGGCCGCTTGTCAATCATGTGACATCACCATCCACGATGGAGGATTCAAAATGGCGGACGATCTCAGTTGCTAAGGTGAGAACAGATACTAAGAGACTAGTAGAAGGTGTCGACTTTATATAGGAGAACAACAAAACGTTTAAAAACGTTTTCTAAGGGTTTATCGAGTGTGTAGAATGTATACAAAGTATAATCATACCATAGTTATAATAAAACAACTGTTTTTTTTTCATTGTAATATAAATGTTTAAAAATTCTCTCGCGTCACTTCATTGTACTGGAAGAAAGGAGAGCAGTCTCACTATACCTGGGTGAAAAATCTCAACCGACTACTTTCCAGAAGCAAGTCTCATCAAAGTCAAACTTATTTCTGCGAACGCTGTTTCCAAGGATTTATCTCTGACTCGACCTCACAAAGCCACTGACTAAGAAAAGCAAAGAAAGATGTTGAAATTACAGTCACCTAACGTTTTAAACTAAAAGAAAATGTTTTAGACAGATCTTTTACTTCTTCACAGTTTGCTTGAGGCAGGTTTAAACTCCGTTTAAAAGTCTCTTGCAATTCCAGTAAAGCATCAGGGTAATCATAAATGTTCCTTACACCCACAACAGAAGTTCGCGGGACAAGGATTGGTACAGCAATCTGTTCCTCAGTCATTTGATCACATGCGTAAAACACAAAATGCTCAGGATGTCTGCTTGTTTCACCACATGATAGTTGCGATGAATATACTGTGAACTGATAGGATTTTCCAATTGCTTGTTCAGGCGAGCAGCGGCTTGCTTGGTAATAGGAATCGCTTCTCCCAGTTGTTGATGTGTTAATGGCTTAACAGTAGTGCTTCTTGGATGACAAGGAGGAATCAGTACTTCCATATTCAAACAATAATGTCTTGCTAACTTTTCTGCTTCTAAATCAACGCCAAGCGCACCGCCTGAAATCACAGTCAAGGTTGTGGACCGAAGCATCTTGATGTGTGTTCACCTGCAGAGTGCAGCGTTTGTTAAATAGAGAACCAATGACGTCATTCCCCCCACATGTTTAAATCCCATAGGACCTGATCTTTGAACTTGCATGCATCTCATAGTAAGAAATCACGTTCTGACAAAACGTGTCAAACAATTCTTTGTTAAAGTCCAATAAATAATTCTTCACTGTGTTAAAATTAAGATGGTAATGACAGATGCCTTGGATAATCACTTCTTGCATAAACGTTTTGTAACCTTGCAAAGTGGAAGGATCCACATGTTCTAAAAGTTGATCTAGACTGTTGCAGGGTTCCTTCATGAATGAGTTAGTTCCTGCCCATGCTTGCTTTTAACCTCATGAATTAGGTCCATCCAGTATTACATCAGGTCGCCTGTTAGTCAATAACTTAAAAACGGCGGTGGTTTCTCGGTTCAGTTAAGTAAATATTTCTTTGTTCAAAGCATACAAGTCGTAATTCAATACATCAAAGGTAAAGTTCGTGTTGGCCAGCGCTTCAATCAGTAATGCACGCATAAATTCTTTGTAGGAAGAAAATTTGCCAGGATCCATGCATCGTAACAGCAATTCCAATTTAGTGGACTGTGTCGTAGCCATGTTGTTCCTGCAGTTCTTTTACCACTGTCTTGAGTCAAGTGACTTCCTCTTGTGTCTTTTGCAAGGTTTCCTTGAGATCTTTGATCTGCTGTAACAATTGAGCGCAATAGCCCAAGGATTTACTAGCAGCGTTGATCTACTCAATCTCACTCATTGCGATGTGACATCAACAGAGTCCGTGCTTATATGGGCAGGTCATGGTCTACTGACTCTTCAATCCTAATGTATTTCCTCTGGGACTTTTCCAGTTTCTTTTTAAAAAACAGGGTCACAATAACGGGACTATCTTGATTGAAGTCCGGTATACTTTTCTTCCATTCTGTCAAGGTTACTTCCGAAATGTCCACCAAATGACTTCGCCGAGAATAAAATTGAAGTGGGTTACATTCAATCAAGGCTTTTTCGTTATTATAAGCGACAGTCTTCATGATAGTGTTGTTGCCATATACACTTTTGGTTAAATTAAAAGACAGAAACAGAGGTCGTGTGTTGACTTGTCCGTGATTTTTGGGGGTGGTGGAAGCTTTCTTGTCTCCTGTACTGGTAGTAACGGTCTCTGTCGTTGTGTGGGTGGTGTGTATCACTGGGTGATCATCGTACACATCGGGTACGTGTTCCACATGACCTTCCACCCCATACAGAACTAAAAAAGTGTTGTCTTGCAATTCATCCGGGTATTTAGCAAGCAGTGGATACCCAATTTCAAACTTGATATTCAGTGTAGCATTGTCACGGACAGATTTGGTGAATTGAATTGTAAGGGTGTGATAATAAATCAAATGAGTCTTGTTCTGCTCATGAGTATGTTTTTGAACCGTCAAATAATTGACTTCCAAACCCGTTCCTTCAGCCGAAAAGTTGGAAGGATCAAACAACCACGCATCGTTTTGGTACCATTCTAAGGCCATGGTATAGGTTTTGTTTTGGGTTAAGGAGCTCATATCAATCTCCAGTTCACCATTGTATTCGCCTTTGGACACACCACCCACAATTTTGACCCCTTCCAATAAAGATACACTGAGAGTCGTGGGTTTCCAATAATGGGGAGACACAGGGAGGTCCACAAAGGAGTCATCCAAGTCCAGTCCGGAGGCTGTTTTCCATAACTTGAGATTGGTCATCCAGGGTTTAAAGACATTGCTTTCTGTTTTAGGGGTTTCATAGGGTTGACATCCAGAAGTGTGTGACAAATGGGGATAGTTAAAATGTCATTGCTTGCTGATTCCTAAAATGCGATTCAGTAAAACCGCCAGAAACCTGAACAAAGTCTTCTTAACCTGTGGAGCTTCTGCTACAGCAGATTCTCGCTGCAAGTATTTTCAGTGGATCCACACATCACATTGCGGGCTGTTTCTTTGATCCAACACATCCGTTGAGCTAGCAGAAGATTGATGGCGAAATAGGGTACACTTTTTTGGTTAGTGGAGTCAATATTCGTAAAACGTAACAACCAGGTCGTGTAATTGTCTTCAGCGGTAATCGTCATTCGCCAACAGTCAGGAGGACCTGTATAAGCAAACCCCGTGGGTAATTGTTGGTTTAAATCCTGCTCCATCCAGCGAAAGACTTTGCCCATAAATTCAAAACCATTGGGGGCATCTTGCACATCTGATTTTCTGAGTTTGGGCAAAATCTCTTTCCATTGGTTGTTGCTGAACGCTTCGGCATATTGTTGAAATAAAATATCGGTATTGCTACCTTTGTAGAGATGAAGTAAAGATCGGTAAGAAAAAGGTTTGGTGGGTCGTTGTTCTGCTTCATGGTGTAGGGTGAGAGAGGGACTCGTATGAGACGTAACGACATGAGGAATAGGATTGAGAGCCCCAGGTAAAAACACACTAGCTAACCCCACTTTCCATTTGCCTGGTAACCACTGTGGAGCTTCTGCTACAGCTTCTGCTACAGCAGATTCTCGCTGCAAGTATTTTCAGTGGATCCACACACCACTCTTTAATGAGAGGAGACCCATCCAGCAGCTCAAGTTTGCTACGAAACAGACCCAGACACAGTGGTTACAACAAGCGGAAAAGAATGTGGAAAAGTGGAAACGCCAACAAGAATGGCTGGATCAGTTTGCTGAATCCACCCAAAAGCAAAACGAACAATGGGAAGCTCAGACAAAACCAAGCAATCCGTGGAAGAAAACTCTACCAAGTACCTTTTATTGGAGTTCAGAAATTACCCAAACCTACAAGAAAACCGAAGGGTGGAAAGTAGTTCAGAGTATTGCCAAAAGCGAGTTTGAAGCCACCCTCAATCGTACCAAGCAGAAATGGGGCAAAGTACCAGCCAGGGGTATGAGTTAAGCGGTTTATTTACAAAAGCAGGGAGCCAAAGGCAAGCCCCTATCTCCCGCTGATGAAAAGTTTTTAAATGCCTGTCAGCCCAACAAACCTAAACAGGACAAGTGGAAACTTCCCCCAGCAAACGAGGTCAACAACATTGCCAACCACCAATTTCAAGCAGCTATTAAAGGTCTGAAACATGACGAGTGGAAACCTCCCCCAGGCGCGGAAACGTATGAGAAGAACGAAGCAGCTATCGCTAAATCTGTCTATGGTCCTTGGCCTTTTGACGACTTGCCTGAAAAAGTCTGCAGTTTAGCCTCCTATTGCCGTAAAAGAAAACAGAAGGGATTGCCTTTAACCGCAGCTCAGGAACGATTTGTTGCCCAATTAGTGAATGTGTATCATGAACCTGAACTGCCTAAGTGTCATGAACAATTTCTAGAAGGACTCAAACAAGGAGCTACCATAAGATCTGTTCATTTTTAATGGAAATAAAAACGTTTTACAAATCGCAAATTGGTTATATTTCTTGGTTTAGGGTTAGGGGTTAGGTCTATTTTTAGATGTTGACGTCATCGTATTCATGTATAAAGGGGTGATTTGTTTTAAAGTCAGTCATACAACCATGGGTAATCTACAGTATAGAAGCCATGTGTGGATCTCCCCGCAATTGTGTCAAGACTCTGTCATCTCTCAAAACATTTTACATGCATGATGAACCGACAAGCGTGGTGATTTACATGACCTGGTGGGACCAACAGTTTCCTTCCCAAGGTTGTATCGTGTTTCGCTATTTAAAGACTCACTATCCCGTCTGGATGTATTCATTTCCATACTTAGTCGGGCAATATCTATTGTATCATGTCGCAAAAACAATCAACAGCCTATGTCGATCCCTCAGAGCCAGGATCGTTAGGAGGCGTGAATGCGTTTGCCAAAGCCCACAAGATACCCCAAGCCCAAGCGAAACAACGACTGGAACAGCTTCTGAGTTATACGCTGCATAAGCCTCGACGTTGACGTTTTCCTACTTTACCCACCAAGGTGTTTAGTATCAACGAACAATTTGTCATGGATTTGGTGGATCTTCAAACATTAACCAAATACAACAAGGGCTACAAATATTTACTCACCGTGATTGATGTGTTCTCCAAATACGCGTGGGTTGAACCGTTAAAGAGTAAACGTGCCACCGCCTTGGTCGAAGCCTTAGAAAGACTATGGACAAGGTTAGGTCCTCGCCAACCTCAGAAAGTACAGACGGATTCTGGCGGTGAATTTTATAACGCGAAAGTGAAAGCGTTTTTCAAGAAACAGGGTGTGAATCATTTTTCTACACATGGTGACCCACATGACTCAGTGGTTGAACGTTGGAATCGAACGTTGAAAACGAAAATGTTTCGCTATTTTACGGCGAAAAACACGTTGAACTATATCGATGTGTCACCCGCTCTCGTCAAAACCTACAATCATTCGTTTCATCGTAGTATTCAAGAGAAACCGGTCAATGTCACTGCTAAAAACGAACATGAGATTTGGTATCGTTTGTATGGTACAAAAAAGGGTACGCAAGTGAAAAAACCCAAATGTAAAGTAGCGGATAAAGAGTAAGATTGAATAAAAAATTTCGTCCGTTTAAGAAAGGCTATTTACCTGGGTGGACCGAAGAAGTGTTTTTAGTGCAACAGATTTATACCACTCAACCTGTGGTCACGTATAAACTGACGGAATGGAACGGGACCCCTATAAAAGGCACATTTTACGAAGAGGATGTTCAAAATGTCTCGGTGCCAGATGATGCGTTATTTCGCACTGATCAAGTGTTAAAACGCAAAGGCAAACGAGTATTTGTCTCTTGGAAAGGGTGGCCTAAAGAGTACAATAGTTGGGTGTGGAAAAAAAGATTTGCAAGTGCCATGAAGGAATTTCGTATCACGTTGATCAGTGATCCCACGGATGAATACCCCCACAATAAAAAACAACAATTTTAAAGTACGTTTACCCGTTCGACTCAATTTAGAAGGCAACCAATGCTAAGCCAGTTTGTGGAGTATGTCTGTCGCGGATGTGGGTCATAGTCCCGCCGTCATTAACACCAATAACGACGCCACGTTACTCAAATACCGTTTACCTTCACCTCACGTTATCAAGACAGTTCGAATGATTGGTTGATTGGTTTTCAAGCCAGACAAAACCATGACTCTCAAAGAAGTCATGGGAACCTCGTATCCTGTCACCTCAGGCATTCAATTATGGCACAATATTGTGACTCATATGGAACAAACCATGATGGAAGATTTAAATGCTTCGTCGGCGGCCTGGAAAGCCTCCAAAAATAATGCAGCCACCATCTCCTTGAAATCCACTTGGAAACCGACCTTTGAATGGAAAGAAGACACGCTTATTTTGAAAGGGGTGCCTCATGAAGATGTGTATGCCCATGATGCTCAGTTAAATGTCCAACCTTTATCCTCTGTAGGTATTCATGTGGATTTGGCCGAAAAGTTTGGACTCTTATTCAAAGACAAAAAGAACCAATACCAATTAGGACCGAATTTTGACTTTGTCTTACCCACAGTCACTTATAACGCATCCACCCCACCGACCAGAAGCAATCAACGGGTTTCAATGGTTAGGAGAGCATTTTGTCGGTATTAAACCGCGCGATTTATTAGGAGGGAACGCGTTATTCAAAGTCAAAAAAGAGAATGGGCAATCCTATCTCTATCTCACCCGTTATGTGGATTGGCATTTTCAAAACCTCAATGCCTTGTTTAATACCCATGTAGGTGCTGTCAAACAAACCATGATGGTGTATTGCGATGCAGTGGAATGCACGATTGTTGGAGCTCAAAAACATTCTTTGTTAAGAAAAGTGGAATTAGAACGGAAAGGGGAAGGAACAGCGACCATAGAACCCCTTCATCTTGAATAGATTCGAGTGAGAAATCAACATATTGAAAGCATTGAAGTGTCCTTGGCTACCCCACATGGTAATTTGTTGGTGTTACCACCCGGCAAAACACTGATCGCGCTGGGGTTTCGACAAATATAAAAGACTGTTTTTCTGTTTGACCTACACACAAAAACAATCACCATGTTGGGAGGTTCACTCACACGGTATCATACCCCTACGTTGACAGGAAAAGGGTTTACCCAAGAGTTAGTTAAATTAGCAGGACCTTTCTTATTACGCTCGATTGGTCATGGTCTACAGGCCTATGAAAAAGGGGCCTCAGCCTCAGATGCATTAAAAAATTCTGGGGAAGTCTTAAAACGAGGTCTCAAACGCAAATTACCGGCTGTGGTAAGGCTTGCGGTGAAAACAAAAGCCAAACGAAGCTATAAAAAGAAACGACAGCGTGTCAAAGACATTTAAGGGGTTTAATCCTGCGGCGTGGACAGAAATCACAATCCCGTGTAAGACATCAGCGATCTATTGGTCGTTACCACTCACCCTATCAGCATGGAGGCACCATTTTTACCCTAGGAATCCCTGGGCTGTGACCTCCTATCAACCTTATGGGGTAGATCCTGATACTTCGTTCCCTTAGACAAAGAGCGAAATAAAAAGGAGGGAAATTGCATAAAGTGACCTATCCTTGGATGATTAAAGGCCGAAAACCTATAAAAAGTCAACGCAAACGACTTTAAGCTATCAGTCTGTCAATATGTCGCTGAATCTGTTTGACGTTCCTGACATTGACTATAGGTATGAAGCCAAACGGTGGATTCCTTTCAAACCTGCCAATACCGCAAGACGCCCTATTCTCTTTACAGTTCCCTCCAGTGATGATTATTATGATCTCAATGAAACCAAGCTAGAAGTGAAAGTACGAATGAACACCACAGGGACCAATGGTCTTTCCGCTGATGAAACAGGACCCTCTGATGCCAATAACACCAAATACGTGTTTTGTGTCAACAGTTTTGGTCATTCTCTCTTCAATCAAATGAACGTGTCCTTCAATGGGGTCTTAATGACAGAACAAAGCAATGCGTATCACCTTTGTATTATTAGTCTTCGTCTTCTAAGACTTCTGAGACTTTGACTTGTTTCTTCTTCTTCTCTTCTACTATGGGCTGAATATAGCAGTCATGATTCACATCGGTGACTTTTTGGCAGTTGGGACATCTGGATTGATAGCAGCGATGTTTCTTCTTGCCTGGTAGACATTACAACATTCCAAACAGTTACGGAACCGTTCACAAACACTTTTCCCACCTCGCGGTTTTTGCCGATGTGCCTCAAAACATTCTGGCCCATAAAACATAACATGACACCTGTCACAACACACTTCCGGGGTGAACCATGTCGCAAAATTAGGACCAGCCTTACTACCTCTACGACAAGCTCTGCAGTTCTGCCCCATACAGTTATGCTGTTTCGAGGTCTCATGATTGTAGCCTTTCTCACAGTGTCGGCAGAAATAGCTTCAGTTTGGAAGTGCTGGTATGCTGGTCACTGCATGGTAGTGTTTCTCTACTTTCAGCGGGTAAGGACGTTCGTAGCCTGATCATACTGCTTGTCTTTGAACACAATCGTTCCTCTAGGCCCTTCAAATACAATCACTTGATACTCGGCTCCAAGGAACTCTTGAAATTTCTTTAACTCGGACCTTCCACAACACCTGCTTCGCGATGTAATTTTCCAGATAAAAACCCTTGCACACCACGACCTTGCGTGATGTTTCGATACTCAGGGTGCTTATCCACTGTGGCTTTGAGGGTCACTATTGCACGAGCACAACACAGTTCATCCTTGTTCTTGATCTGAATAATGCAACCTCTTTTCTTCAGCAACTTTTCATACGACATCCACCCAGGATTATCCTTCTTCCCACCATTCTTTCCACCACATCCAGAACTTTTAATAAATGTCACCTCTACATAAAATTCACCCTCGGTGGCATCCAAATCCTCAGCTGAATTCACCTGTTTCGCCAGCTTCTCCAACCATTATCGAGACCTCTGGTTATTATCAAGCCAATCTGTCAGTGGAATATTGGGACTTCGAGTCCACAAATGATTACCACTGCTGTGATGAACCGCAAATTGCATCGAATAATCAGCAGGCACATAACCCCGTTCACGTACCACATCATGGTAACCTTGTCTAAACGCCTCAGCAATGGCCTCCCCCAACAAATCGTCCTCGGGCACTCTCAGTTGCCGAAGTGTCAACCGCATTCGTTCCTGCTCCACAGTTCCATCACCCCACCGTCGTGGAGCCCCAACCCTCTCTACATCTACACCAAATAAGGGGTTTCCTCCTTGTTGTTCCGACCTACGCGCCTCGATTAAACAGCGCCTCTTCTTGGCTACTTGTCATGAGCTCATCGCCCTGGCTAGCGGACCACTCGGTCATATCATCTAAAAGAAATTTACCCCCAAATTATAAGTTTGTTTTTGTTTTCTCAGAGGTCCGTATATTATAATTTTTCCTTCGTTGCAGTAAAACACTGCAAGTTACATTTCTTAAATGCAGACTTTTTATGCACATTCCCATACATTTGTTTGTAAATGCAAGTAAAACCGCTTCATCGTAAACGATTCCATTATAGTTCAATTACCGTTACTTCCAATAGTTTGTTCGAATAACGCTTCATCTATAGAGTCATTCATCAAGTCATTTCCATCCATTGACGACCAAGGACTTTCTTCCATAGAGCCCGAAGACTCCATCGCGGACAAACAGTAAAGACTGAATGAATCTCAAACGCTAATATGCTATACTAAGTCACGTTGAACCCGGTTGAAACCGCTTGAAACCGGTTCACCACGTGTACAGCATGACTAAATATAGGTTTAGATCAAGGTCAGTGAAGGTCATCACGTGCGCAGATAAAATCATACGTGCTTGGGTTAAGGTTGTTCAAGGTTGCCTGACCTTGTTTTTCTGACTCAGCAGAATTTGCATGTGTTTTCTAGTGAACGTTATTAGCATACGAAACCACTGACTAGAACAATTAATTTTAGTCTGAGTGTTCATTCGATTACTAAACTAATTTCCCACCCCTGTCTGAGTGTTCATTTGACAACACAGCCCATAAAATTATTTCCCAGGACACAATAAATATAACACGCAACGTTTCTTTATTAATAAACCTAGAACAGCCGCTAGGGACGTATTAGATTTTCTAATAAAATCTGCCCTTTTAGTCTGCTTTTTCAAAAACCTAATTTACAAAGTAGGACATGTGAGAATCATTATTCGATCTCGCCTAACCAGTCAAACATATCAAAAAATTCCACATACATTTCTCTACATTGTTCTCTCGCTTGCAGTCGATATCTTGGTGTGGCATGCAAAAAGTAAAAATAACCTGAATTGTGATAATGGTCAATAATGAGTTCAGTTGAGGCTAATCTCAAACAGCGCGAGCATAAAAATTCATTGTAATAGGTATTGACCCACTTTACAAAGTTACAGATTGATCTTTGCTGTAATTCAGCCAAACAAGATCTGAAACATAAACAATAAAAAATCTAATCATCGGCTATCCAAAATTTAAGATCGACATAGCGGGTAAACGCATTTCCATGACCACGCCAAAAATATAATAAGTCTTCAATCCAACGTATCTCAAATCCTAGAACTTTTCCGATTTCTTTTATCACACCAAGACAGCATCTACAATAAAAAATCATAGAAACAGAAACGGCATGTCTTCTCTTAAATGTGCGTATGTACTTTCAAAACGATCAAGTACTTCCTCAATGTTTTCAATAAACGGTTGTTGTAATAAACATAAATCATCAATCATTACATGAAGTAAACCAATTCATGTCCTACAGGTACACTGTTCCTCAGAATATATCCATTCTGTGAACCCACAGATAGGTAAAGATCGAATATCTTGCAGACATTTTCTAAAATTGAAAAGAAATTTTACGTAACACACTTTTACCCGCAAACAAATGAAAAATTCGCTGTCTTTCAAGTTCAAAATCTACTTCGAGATATCTCTCTAACCAGGATTGTCCCTCAACGGTAACCCCTTCCACCGTGAGTCTCATGCAATGGGTACATACAGTATGAACCCAGAAAGCAGAATGGCACACCTTGCGAATTTTCATCGCTCGTAAGGTTTTTCTATAAGAAAGTAATAATAAAAACAAGTGGGTCTACGTTTTAACTAAAACTGTAAATGACAGCGGGATTGGCTAAAATATAATTGCCTCATCTTCGCTTCCTCTTGATTTTTATCAACAAACTGTCGCTTCATTTTTAACCTAATTCCGTCGAGAGTCGAATTTGTACGAATTCTTGGACACTGAAGACAGGAATACTTTTCATACTGAACATGCACCCATTTGGTTTTTCGGCAATACGATAATTCTTTTAGCTGCTTGATTTGGTTTCCAACATTTCTAAAAGCAAGAAAAGATATGTCTAAGACTAACATTCAACAAGCGTGTCTAAAAACACGTTTACAACAACATAAGATAAACTTTGGTCTTAACACTCAACCACTCTAGATCTTTGATCCAAAACAGCGTGTCCAATACTTGTCTAAAACCGAAACATTGCTTGGGTAAATGTTTTGGTCAGAATACCATGCTTGAATAAAACGAAATCCTTCACAAACATACCTGAAGTGGACGCGATGTTGTTCGCGAAACTTGTTTCGTTGTTCTTCGTAATTGCGAGCTTCCAGCTTCTGAGCAAGCGGGTACCACGGAACTAAGAAGGTTCGTGCCATCAGTTCGGGATCGGGAAAGGCTTGTAGCGCAAGGTCTTGTAGAGTCTTCATTGTAAAATCGGCTGGCTAGAAAGTGCTTCTGCTTCGTTCGAAGGTTGTCGAATGACTGGTGAAAAAGCACGTGTAAAGTCTTACCTTAAACATGACGCAATAAGCGGTGATTGGTGCGGTTCGAGGTAGGATTAATCTAATTGCAAATAAGCCGCTTTTCGCTCCCTCATTGCTGACTTCCAATTAATTTCTTCGCTCCCTCATTGTCGGCTTCAAATTAATTACTTCACTGCCTTTTGACTTTGATGAAACATGGTCGCACGTTTCATGTTTTGCGAAAGCACGGTTTTAAAAATGTTGAAAAATTTTTTTCCATTTTCAACGATGGCTACCCCGTTTGAAACAGAGGATATGATTCTCACTCAAGTGCAAGCTGATCATATTAACGAGAGACATGTTTACATTACCGAACATCCGCGATCGTCAAAATTTTGGTTAACATTTAACTTATTGTCAACTTTGGCCGATTTATCGCAGCGAACCTGGGAAGAAGACGATGAAGATGTCCAACTGTTAGAATAAGGTTGGAAAGAAGGTCACCGAAATTATTACCTATACGTGTTTGCTGTCCACGAGATTGGTAGGGACGCTCAAGGTTTTCCCGCAAAACATATCGCGATATATTACTCCGAAAAACGCGAGGGTAATAAATGGGAAATTATAAGTGCTTATCCCTTTACGCGAGCGTACCACACTTATCTTTTAAGTAAACGGAAACCATGGTTATGTTAGTTCTTCATTGTGAGAACTCAAAACCAAACAACAAACGGCTCTTTTAGGAGCGAACACCTGAATAAAAGTCATGACCAATACTCAGAAAGTCTCGGTAGTAGAGTGGCTTAGTATCTCTGCTTGTCGAGCAGAAGACCGGGGTTTCATTCCCCATCGCGACGTTTTAGTCGAAGTTGTGTATGTTATTCAATATCATACACTTCTTTGACTTTTTTAATTTTCCTTCTTTCGGTATGTCGAATTTACATCCGCTTTGTCTTTTTCTAGTGAACATCATTAGCATACAAAAACATTGACTGGAACGGTGAGCGTATAAAAGTTGAACGCTTCTAACGCACTTTATTTTATTGTACAGATACAAACTGAATATGTCTCAAGTTCTTTACACCTCTAAAGGAAAAGCTTTCAACCACTGATGATGCCTGAAGAGTCTAACACTAATTAGTGACAATGTCCAAGTCGATTCTGGGGCAAAGTATTTCCAATGACAAAAGCAATGATAATCAGGTTATACCTGGATTCTGACATAGACATTAGAGAAATTCTACAAGACGGTATGGTTCTACCCTCGGTTCCAATGACAGTCGTCAAAGCCTTTAAACAGGTACACATTCAAACCGAAGGATTTTGTTACCGCTACAAACACTATAGTGTACATCCAGAGTTATATTACGAAAGAGCCTTCGAACCAAGTGGTTTGATACATCCGCTGTATGCCTGCTGCTGCCGATTTTGCACTCAGAAAGAGTTCTTTTAAGAACCCACAGAAACCAAACGGCTCTTTTAGGAGCCACCACCTGAATAAAAGTCATGACCATTATTACCGTTTAGTCGAGGATTCTTCCTCGATCATTTTTTAATTTTATTTTTCCCTTCTTCTTTCGCCGTAAACATGTTTAGCACAAAGGGCTGACATAGTAGTGTCGCAATTTATTTAAATTCGAAGCTAACTGGCTCAAATCCTCTCGTTTCTCTTTCAGGTAAAAATTTTTATTTTCTTTTTAATATCACGGCACGGTAGCGAAGTGGATATCGCGTCGGTCTCATAAACCGAAGGCCCGAGGATCAAAACCTCGCTATGCCTTCTTTTTAACATGACAATGACTCTATGGCCGAATGGATATTAAAGGTGCCTGACTACGAATCAGGAGATTTCAGGTTCAAGTCTTGATAGAGTCGATTCTTTTTTTTTCTTTTCTTCGTCCACCATTTTGAACCCACCATCTTGGATGGTGACGTAACATGATTGACAAGCGACTTGCTTTGAGGACTGGCGGCCTCCGGCCGCCATCTTGGATTCTTTGATTGACAGATGGAGGCATCCTTTGAGTGCTGGATACTACTGTCGTCATCACACCTTTTATCAGGTCCAAAATAATTATAGCAAATTGTGAGATTATGAAATAGTTCGCTGAAGATTTACATAATAATTCTGGAATATTTCATAATCTCACAGTTATTGTAATCATTTTGAACTTGATGAGTAAGTCAAGACGATTCTGAAACGTCGTTCGTTTTTAGCGTAAATTTTTTCTTGCTAATGTATTAGTAAACCTCTGGGCTGGGTTGTTCAAAGCTGGGTTAAGATATCCCAGGGTTAATGTGCAATTTGAATTCAGTTTAATTATTTTTGTCTACACACTGATGATCACATACTCTAAAAAGAATAGACAAAAATTATCTGAGAAATGCGTTTGAAAAAAAAAGAAACCCAGATGAAAATTTAACCCCGAGTTTGCGTTGATCAGCCTTCGAACAACTGGGCCATGCTTATAATTATTGATAATTAGCTGACCTGAGCTAGGTGTTCTCTCATCAGTTTACAGCCATGATGAACATGGTAAAGCAGTGGAGCCATCCAAGTCTACCCAAAGCACGAGAAACAAGGCAATATTAAAACAAAACAAAGTTCACAGAAGTAGAAAAAAAATTAAATAACACGATGACAAACCTTTTCCCATGATTCAATATCTTCTCCAGCGTCTTTTAGCTCCTGTTTGTGGCAATTTGCCATTTTCTCCACCAAGTCCATCACCTAAAATTTGCATCAATCAAACAGAATAACCTATAATTATCTGGTAATTACAATCTTTATTTTCAATGGAAAATACCATCAAGAATAACCCCAATTTATCCTCAGGTACATGTAAATCAAGGAGGGTTCTTGAAGGTGCAGGTACCAGACTTGACTATGAT